GAACTGCTGGGCACGCTGGAGAACTGCTGGGCACGCTGGAGAACTGCTGGGTACGCTGGAGAACTGCTGGATACGCTGGAGAACTGCTGGGTGTGCTGGGGAACGGTGTGCTGGGGAACTGCTGGGCACGCTGGGGAACTCCTGGGCATGTTGGGGAACTGCTGGGCGTGCTGGGGAACTCCCGGGTGTGTTGGGGAACTCCCGGGCGTGCTGGGCATGCTGGGGAACTCCCGGGCGTGTTGGAGAACTGCTGGGCGTGCTGGGGAGTTACTGCCTCACTTTGCTGCTGCAGGCTCCCTGTGGAGGAGTCACAAATTAACCCCATCCGACCAGTGTCCCTGTAACCTCCCAGTGTCAGGAATTTTATAAAAGCATCACTGCAAAGGAGCAGGTGGGTCAACCAGCCCCACTTGTGTTCTCAACAAACTTTAAACCCATAAGAAATAGGAACGGATGTAGGCCATTCAGTCCCTTGAGACTGCTCAGCTATTCAATGGGATCACTGCTGATCCAAAATTCCTCACATCCACTTTCTTGCCATTTTCCTGTAACCCTTGATTCCTCAACTGATCAAAAATTTCTCTGTCTCAGCCTTAAATATCCACTAGGACTCTGTCCCCGCAGCTCCCTGTGGCAGGGAATTCCAATGACCATAAACCCTCTGAGAGAAGAAATTCCTCCTCATCTCAGTTTTAAATTGGTGCCCCTTTATTCTGAGATTATGCCTATGGTCCTTGACCCTGAGGGGAACATCCTCACAGCATTTACCTTGTTCAGCCCCTTAAGAATCAGAGACAAAAACAGGAATTGCTGGGAAAGCTCAGCAGGTCTGGCAGCATCTGTGGAGAGAAATCAGAGTTAACATTTCAGGTCGAGTAATCCTTCCTGAGACTTTTCCGAGGAAGTGTCACTCAACCCAAAATATAACTCTGATTTCTCTCCACAGATGCTGCCAGACCTGCCGAGCTTTTCCAGCAATTTCTGTTTTTGTCTCTGATTTACAACATCCGCAGTTCTTTCAGCTGTTAGTTCCCTTTAAGAATCTGAAATGTTTCAATGAGATCACCTTCATTCTCCTAAACTCCAGTGGGTAGAGATACAACCTGTTCAATCTTTGCTCTTGAGACAATCCTTTTAAATATCTCCATTACAATTCAGCAGCTAATTAACATCCTCATATTCCCGTCAACTTTCTGTGGAAGATATTTTAAATGAATACTCAAGGGTGAGAAGACAGAACACCTCTGAAAATCCCTTATTCCGCATCTCACTCACAGTCTAACCATCTGTTAGAGTCTGATTCAGTTCAGTTCTTACCAGCACATGGCTTAGGGTTAAGGTGGAGAGAGGGGATCCTGACAGGTTGTGGGAAAGTGATGGAGGGGGCTCCATTTTCAGGGAGATGATGTAGCTCATCACGGTGATCTTGTGGTCTTTGTGAAACGCAGATTCACTGATTCTGGGAAGAGAAGAGAACAGGATGATTTATAAAGGCAGTTTCTCAGAAGGTGGCAACACAACATGATACAACAAATAAACAACACCGAAAGTAACCCTCTCACTTGGTCACCATTTGTGGAGTGCAGTTCTGTGCTACTTACAATTCCCCTGCAGCTCGGTCAAACCACATTGCTGCTGGGCAACTTGTTCTTGTTCATTCACAGGATGAGGGTGTCTCTGGCCAGGTTAACATTTATTATCCATCCCTAATTGCCCAGAGGGCAGTTAAGATACAACCACATTGCTGTGGGTCGGGAGTCACATGTAGGCCAGACCAGGTAAGGATGGCAGTTTCCTTCCCTAAAGGACATTAGTGAACCAGATGGGTTTTTCCGACAATCCACAATGGATTCATGGTCGCCTTTAGGCTGGCAATTAACTTCAAATTTTAATTGAACTTAAATCTATTATGGTGGTGTTTAATCCCATGTCCCCAGATCCACAGTCTGGTTTATTAGTCCCAGTCATGTTTCCATATGTCGCTGTCTCCCCACGTAACTTGACCATTTAACTCCAAAATGAATCACGGTCAATCCTAATCTTCTCCTGCAATTGTCAAAATTGCTCACATGTGACTGCAGGCACATCTCAAATATTTGCTGAGAATGGCCTTGGGATCTTTCTGCACCCCCTCCCCATCAGCTCAGGGCTAGGGGCTGCAGTTGTGGAGGGGCTGAAGGGTGACAGGGTGGGGGTGAATGACCTGAGACCCAGCTTGTTAACAGAACTCACTCGATCCACCCTGTTCCCACTTCCTGCCTCACATCTGCTCTGATGATGCTCGCTTTCTCATTGCTACCTCTTACAGGGTTTTATTCATTGCTCGACAGAGAATTCTGCTTTCTCCACAAGCACTCAACCGTTCCATTTGTTGTGCGCTTCCCGGCCCTTCCTCCTCCTTCCAAGATCCGGGATTGGCTCCCCCATGTCCGTCCTCACCTTCCTTCCCCAGCAGCTACACATTTAACAGATATCCTTTCCACCTCCTTCAACAGGATGTCCCCATCAGATGCCTCCTTCCCCCCACCATGCTGTAGGTCCCTCCTCTGTGATAGCCTAGTCCCCTCCTCTGCCAGTTCCTAAAATCACCTGCCCAGCCGACAGTTCTTTGCCATACAAGGGGAGGAGGTGAAACATCTGTTCTTTCACCTCCTCTCTCTTCACCACCAAAACTCAAAGCTTCCTTCCAGGTGAGACAGGGATGTACATTGCGGGTTGGTACACCATGCCCCTGATGCAGTATGCTCTACACTGGGGAGACCAGGTACAGACTGGCTAAGTGCTTCACACACTATCTTCACCCAGTCCGCAAGCGTCCATTCCCAACCTCACTCCCACTCTGAGCCCTTTCTGCCCTCAGGAGGTCAGTACGCCAGACTACAACAGCACCACCCTTATCAGCAGGCTTAATAACAATATCAGGGTTAGATCTAAGTGCGTAGAGTGCAGTCAGTTCTGAGGAAGGGTCACCGGACACGAAACATTAACTCTGTTTTTCCCTTCACAGATGCTGCCAGACCTGCTGAGCTTTTTCAGCAACTTTGTTTTTGTTCCAGTTTGGAGGGAGATAGGTTGGATTTGGTGAAGGGAGCAGAGAAATTGAAGTGATCAATATCACATCACCCGTTCTCAATGAAAAAATCAAGTGCAGCCATCACCAGATACATATTCCCCTCTCCTCCCTTGTCCGCCTTCCTCAGGGACCGTTCCCTCCGGGACACCCTGGTCCACACTTCCTTCACGCCCAACACCTCCCCACAGCCCTACGGCACCTTCCCCTGTAACCGGCAAAGGTGCAACACCTGACCATTTACCTCCTCAAGTTCAATAATTTTAGGGCCTAAACTCTCCCATGTCCCAGGCCGCCCACCCCACACACCAGGCCTTGTTATCACATTGTCTGCCATTATACACTATCTATTGTTAGTCACTAACAGTCCCCATTAACAACTATTCACCCTCCCAGCCTGATCATTATCAACTCCTTTGTCTGTCTAACTGCTCTTCTCTCTATTTAGGCCCTATCCTATCGTTTACTCCCTACCCCATTCCCTTCCCTATTTTCTGCATATAAACTGATGTTTTCCCAGCTACAATCAGTTCTGAGGAAGGGTCACTGGAGCCGAAACATTAACTCTGATTTCTTCTTCACAGATGATGCCAGACCTGCTCAGCTTTTCCAGCAACTTCTGATTTTGTTATAGAACAGTACAGCACAGAAACAGGCACTTGGGCCCACGATGTTATGCCAAACTTGATGCCAAGTTAAACTAATCCCATCTGCCTGCCCTTGGTCCATATCCCTCCATTCCTTGCATACTCATGTGCTCATCGAAAATTCCCTTAAATGCCCCTATTGTATCTGCCTCCACCAACACCCCCGGCAGCATATTTCACACTCCTACCACCCTTTGTGTAAAAAACTTGCCCCTCACATCTCCTTTGAACTTTTCCTCTCTCACCGTAAACGCATACCCTCTAGTATTAGACATTTCAACTCTGAGAAAAAGATTCTGATCAAACCTATCAATGCACCTCACAATCTTATAGGCTTCTATCAAGTCTCCCCTCAGCCTCCGCTGCTCCAGAGAAAACAACCCGAGTTTTTCTAGCCTCTCCTACAGCTCATACCCTCCAATCCAGGCAGCATCTTGGTAAACCTCTTCTGCACCTCTCCAAAGCCTCCACATCCTTCCTGTAATGTGGTAACCAGCACTGAACTCAATATTCTAAGTGTGGCCTAACTGATTCTTGTACTCAGTTCCCAGACCAGTAAAGACAAGCATGCCATACGCCTTCTTTATGGCCCTATCTGCTGGCAAAGCCACTTTCAGGGAGATTATGTGTACTTTTTTTAACTGTTCAAGCAAGACTCTTGATAAAACACAACATGCAATTTCAGCCCAGGAGTCTGAATGCAAAGTATTTTCTGCAACAGATTCTTAAGGATTGCATTTATCTATTAAACATAGTTCAACAGAGATGTAGTCATTCGTCAAACACAGCCAACATGTCTTGGAGGAATGTAGTTGCAGAGTGACTGAAATAACATATCACTCCCCAGCAACGCCCACCCACTCCAACCCACACAGAGAATTTGGTGGGATCCAAGTTCACTGACAAATTGAGCGAGTTCCCAACTGCACAAGCTGTCTATAGAAGGAAATGAGTGCTAAATATTAACGAAAACTGTAAGGAAAACATCTAAATGATGCTTCCTCATCACGAACTACGTGTCACGAATAGCAACTGTGCAGTTACTGAGTCCATGAACAAAGGTAAACAAATCAAAGTTTGTTTTTAGATGGATTGCAAGCGAAATTATGTTTAAATAATGCAAAGTACTGTGGATGGTGACGATCTGAAATAAAGAGGGATAATGTCAGGTAAGCTCAGCAGTAATGACTGCCTCCATCTCCTGAAGACACTGTGTTAACATCTCAGCTCCACCACCTTTCATCAGAGCTGGGAGATGAAAGGTCATTAAGTGGGTGCTGCCCAGCAGCCCCTCCCTCCGCCTGGGCCAGGGGCTGTAAACTCAAGGGGCATGATGGAAGCCTTTTCAGCCACAGGGCAAAGCCGATATCTCTCACTGTTCAGTAAGATCCCAGCAATGATGTGTGTGGAACCCCACTGGAAATGGATTCAGCCAAAGAAACAACCCTCTACTGTTACCGAGATAATAGGAACTGCAGATGCTGGAGAATCTGAGATAACAAGGTGTAGAGCTGAATGAACACAGCAGGCCAAGCAGCATCAGAGGAGCAGGAAAGGCTGACGTTTCAGCCCTAGACCCTTCTTCAGAAATGGGGGAGGGGAAGGGGGTTCTGAAATAAATAGGGTAATGGTAATAATAATAATAATAATAATAATAGCCCAATGGTATCAATGTGGACTTCACAAGCTTCAAAATCTCCCCTCCCCCTACCGCATCCCAAAACCAGCCCAGAGATACCATTGAGCTAGTATTATTATTATTACCATTACCCTATTTATTTCAGAACCCCCTTCCCCTCCTCCATTTCTGAAGAAGGGTCCAGGCCCGAAACGTCAGCCTTCCTGCTCCTCTGATGCTGTTTGGCCTGCTGTGTTCATCCAGCTCTACACCTTGTTACCTCTACTGTTACCCTCTGCTTCCTGCCTCTCAGCCAATTTGGATCCAACACATCACTTTACCTCGGAGCCCTCAGCCTCTTACTTTCTTCACCAGTCTGCCATGGAGCACCTTATGAAAAACCTGGCCAATATCCATGTAGACACATCAAATGCTTTATCCTGATCAACACTCCTGGTTACCTCCTCAAAATGTTTCATCCAAATTTGTCAAACTACCAAATCCATGCTGATTATCCTACATTATTAATGCATGGCTTTCCAAAAGCAGATGTACAGGTCCCCAGTTTACAAACATGATCCCATAGAGGGGTAACAAGGTGTAGAGCTGGATGAACACAGCAGGCCAAGCAGCATCAGAGGAGCAGGAAGGCTGACATTTCGGGCCTAGAAGAAGGGTCTAGGCCCGAAA